ATTTATCCTCGTAGAGTTTTGTTAAGGGACCTAAAACCCACCTCCCTTTGAGGAGCTGTCACAAAGTCATTTTTCGACGCACAGGGACGATACTTATATCGTTCGATGCGCAAGAAAACAACCTTTAAGATGAGATAAGAAACAGAAAAACTCAACATTTTCAAATTTTAGCTAGGTCGGTCCCCTTAACTAGTGTTTATTACTGAAATATAATGGCTATTGGCTAATGGCTCCAAAACTGTGTCCAAGTCTAACGCTTTGGTACCCAACTGCAAAATTATGCTGAACTCTGAAGCCCAATTAAATCTGGCTGTTGTGGCTGAATCAGCCTGAATTGGATTTTTGTTAATGAATCAGACAAAAATGCTCCTGGATCTGACTAATTTTGCCCATTCAGCCATTCCTATGGCATTTTTTCATTTTTTTTTGATAAATAATAAAATAAAAGCCTTTTGAATAGGGATTTCTTAAAATCTTGTGTGAAACAATCATTTTCATCCCAACTTTAGGAAATTTCTGCCCTAACATATAATATTCTAATTTCCAAACTGGGCTCCAAGCCTCCATTCATCATGAAAAATTCTCCCAATCATTTCTACCTAGCTGCTCACTGCTCAGTACCTACTACCTACTACCTAGCCCTGTATGGCTTCACAAATCTTGGATGAATATGTGTTGATAAATTTTCTGTATTTTCTCATATACCGTCAAACAGCATAAAAAGGGACAGTTTTGAGCATTTTTTGTTAATAACTTCTTACCATGAAACATTTCAGAAACAAGTTTTGGCTCATTTTATAGCTCTTTGCATGGGCTATTGAATGGCATCTTCGAAAAAATTCCATATGCTATTTGTAAGGTGCTAGACGCCATATAAAAGGCTCCTGAATTGATCTTGAAATGGGGTAAAAAGGGACACTTGAAATAAAACTCAATTTCAAACATTTGAAGCATGCAGAGTGTACTCATCTATTACTAACAGTACTCTGAAGTCCTCCTCTTTCATTGTAGATGATGTAGATGTAAAATAAATGAAATTTTCTGTGATTTTTACTTGTTTTTCCTTTATTGATATGACATTACCATATTCATTAATTACCATATTATTAATGTGATATTACTGTATCAATGGACATGCCATTGAGCATTGACAATGACCTTGTCCACTGCAAGCTTCATATCAGCAGCCATTTAGCATTTTACTGTATCTGTAAGCTTACAGGATGGTTTGTAATTTTGCACAATTTTAATCAAGTCTAATGATTTCACTATAACAAAAAAAGATTGTGAAAAACGTATCTGAAACAGGAAATAATGTTCTAGTGACAACCATCATATGTTTTGAAGAAATAAATCATAGTTTAGGTCAATTACTTTTCATTCTATGATGCCTGGTTCACAATTCTTTATATAGCATTCTATGTACCTACAATTTTTTGACAGCCAATGATGCACTAATTTTTTGATAAGTGAATTTTTTTGCCAAGCGAGGTAAATGTAATCAAAATTCTTTGTTGTTAATCAAATTTTTTGTTAACTGGAGCCTTTGCTAACCGAGGTTCTACTGTAAATGCATTTTTAAGGGTGTCCCTAATTACCCTGGGGGGGTGTCCCTTTTTTTGTCCCTCCCCACCATAGTATTGCCCCCAGCCCTGACTGAGAATTACATACTGATCATTTAAATGAATATTTTGACATTAACAATGAAATTCATGCTCTTACCATATCATTTGAATAGATGGATTGATCAATATTTATTTATTCAATTGACCTAAGTTATTTGTTGAAATTACATCTGATTGAAGTAAGATATATTTATAATTGCCCTCTACATTTCAATATTTTAAATTATTGTTTTTGCATAGCATTGTGACAGATTTTTTAATTGCAGTTTACTTTAACATGTAAAATTTTGAAAAAAAGCAAAGTAAATACTTGTAGGTGTATATTTGTTTAAGTTGGTGAAGTTCAGCAGAAGCTTCTCTTTTATGCAAGTTTGATTGAAGACCAGAGCAAGCTTTTTACAACACTTCTCTTTAACTTCATTTCTTGTCTGTCTGTCTGTCTGCTACAAATCTTGTAATCAAAATTTAATACACTTCTACTTATCCTATCGATCTGAAATTTTGCCAACTTGTGTAAAGTTGGAGACCTGTCTCTTATACACATCTAGATGTGTATAAGAGACAGGTATAGCGTTTATTGTTATATTGCTCGGCCGCTCTTGTTACATCGTCAGAGCTGCATTATAGAGCACAAAATCTTGAAGTTGACATCAAAATACAAATGTACATATTGGCGACATACTCCCGTCAGGTTTACTGACAATTAATATCTTGTAATACAAATATTGTCTGTACTATTTTGTACAACAAATCAAATGGATAAATCTCATGAGGTTAGTAATGAAACTATCATTCATGTGACAGATGTAGGTCACCTGCCAACCCTAAATTCTGTTAATTATAATGACGTTATGATTATTTTAAAGAAGATGTAACATTAATTCGTCAAAGATATAAATAGATTTATCTAACGTTTTTTCNCTGTCTCTTATACACATCTAGATGTGTATAAGAGACAGATTGAAGCCAGTTAAATGGTCAATATTTAGCTCATTACCTTGCTCCATACAAACTTTACAAAGCTAATGAATAGACTTATCAATAATTGTTTATCCGAAAATCCCTAAGTGGGAAACACCACCTTGGCCTGTTGGTCATTATTGAAGGCAATAAGTGCCCTTTTTAACCATCCATAATGATCCATATACTGTTATTGTTAGTAGGCTAATTGCAACATAAAAAATAACACCTCAAAAAGACAAAAAAGCTGAAAAAATAAAAAAAATCAAATAAATAAAAAAATCATGAAAAAATAAAAAAAATCATTGATTTTTTATTTTTTTTATTTAAAAAAAAATCAAAAAAATCGCCAACCCTGCTTCAATCAAATTTGTTTGTTTGTATGTGTGTATGTTATTGAAGACTGGCACTGTAAATATTTAAGGGCTGTTTGTCTGCATATCCATGATACTTATCATGCTGCTATATTACTAGAACCTGAAACTTCATTCTTAGTGTTTGTTCCATAAAGGATTGGATCAGAAATTGAAATTTGGTTTTGCGTTGCATGCTGTACATCATTTTTTCTACTTTTTTTAACTGGAGTAATCTTCATAAATTATACATTTGAAGGTCCCTTTTGAAGAGTATAATACATAAGCTTTTTTATTTATGAGCTTAAGGATTGTTTGAATGAGAGGAATTAGGAAGATCTCAAATGGCAGGAACTATCAAGCATGGCCAATGTTGGGCTAACCTGCTGGAATTTTATAATTGTTCATACTCTCTTGAACTGGTTTCACAAAATTAAATTTCTTAAATTTCTGTGCTTACTGTCAAAATGGTTGATTCAGTCTGTTGATAATTAGTCCCAGGTAATGCTGGGTTTACCAATTCGTTGAAATTTATAGATAACAAGCAGTATAAAATGCTTTCCATTTTGCTGAGTTTGGGTTGACATAAGGCTGCGTTCAGGTTTTAGGGTAACCACAGCTCCAGCAACAAATATCCTTTTTATTGAATGGAAAAAATTGTATCTGCAATAACAAATACCATATAAATATACTAACCCTATAAACTTCAATGTATGCCATAATATTCATAAATAATAAATAATCATCAGAACTATAAACAAGTTATAAAAAGGCATTAGTTAATGCTCCAAAATATTGTGGGCTGTCTTAAATGTTTTATTTCAAGTGTCCCTGTTATGTTATGTTATGTTATGTTATGTTATGTTATGTTATTCCCGTATTACCCCTTTCCCAGGGGTAATTCAGGAGGCTTTAATTTTGCATCTGGCACCTTACAAATAGCATATGGAATTTTGCAGAGATGCCATACAATAGCCCTTGCAAAGACCTTTAAAATAAGACCTAACTTGTTTATGAAATGTTTCATGGTAAGAAGTTATTAACAAAAAACGCTCAAAGCTTCCCTTATTACCCCATTTGGCAGTATCTCCTGAGCCACCAGGGGCTTGAAAATTTTAACATACAAATTTATTGCTGATGGCAAAGACTTACTTTTATATGATGAAGTCAAAGACCAGATATTGTTCATCATTGTCACCATTGCAATTGTTATTTAATTTTAGTGAGAGATATGGGGCTTGAAGTGCTGTATTAATACTTCCTGCCATCTCTGTATTTGACCATCTTCAGAATTCTATATTTGAATTTGTCATTCAAAACTTTAACTCAGATTGGTTCCCAAAATTGAACATAACTTCCAATGGTGTTCCAAAGAGTCTAAAGCAGTGATTCCCAAAGTGGGTGGTACCACCGCCCTGGGGGAGGTGGAAAGATCTGGGGGGGCAGTGAGGAAGAAAGAGGTGGGAAGGAGGCAGCAGTCTGAAGTCGGAGTAAGAAAATTGAACGTTGGACAATTTGTACACAACACGTGCAGCACACGGATCCCAGCAATATGTTTTTTCACTCGAATCTGTTTTTTTAAACTCTCCTGGGTTTCTAGTGTAAATTTTGAAAAATATTCAAACTCTGGGGGGAGGGGGGCATTAGAAATTCATATGTGTCCTTGAGGGGGGGGGAGGGTGCTAGGAATTCACTAGGGAGCCAAGGGGTCAACAGTCTGCAAAAATTTGGGAACCACTGGTCCAAAGAATACCCCTGATAATGGTTTCTTTACATCTACATTTACGGAATTTTTTGCTGATGCCCTTATCTCTAAAAACTTAGTTGTAAAATCCTTTGTATCCAAGAAACTTTGTTGTAATATCTATAGTCTAGAAAGTAGGCTGTGATATCTGACTGTCAACTAGCTAACTTTTATGTTGGTTTTGAAATTTATTGTTTTTTGTTCATTATTCAAGGGTTTTTATTGAAGATTATTAGTAATATATTCAGGAATGTTTTACCTGTAAATAAAATGCAATGCTAATGGAAAGTATTTCAATTCCAGGAAATACCATCTGCGTTGCAATGAAGCATAAGGAACTTGAAGTACCAGCCTCTCCAGGATGGGTGCGGCCGGATGACGTCATGAAAGCTCGCAAGCTGAAAGTCAAGCGTCGGGCTCTGCAGGCCAGAATGTGTGGCAGCAATTCAAAGCCTATTATGGTTACAAATATATCAAAATCTTCTATATTGAAGCCACGACATAATCCTTTCAGGTAGTATGGAATTTGATACAGTGTCAGTGCTTATTTAATTTTCAATGCCTTGTTTTATCATTAATTTAAAGTTTATATTAAAGAATGTAGAATGATTGCATGTTTGAACAATAAATTTGATAGGGTTTAATTTTGTTTCTGTTTTATTAGAGAAAAAAGCTGTTGAGCCATTGCAACAGTGGGTTAAGTTCCAGTCATTACCCTCAAAGTATGAGGTGAACTTAACTTTTCCCCAGATGTATTCAGATTGGAAACTAATTGGACTGGTTCAAAAGCAGTTTATTGACCATTAATGGCAGCTGCAGTTGAACTGAATATTGCAAGGAAGAGTCATGAATTGAAAATATTAATCATAATTCTTTTGGCAATGCATGGACCTGCTGTGAAGATGAGCTGAAAGATGATGACAATGTGAAAGCAATATAAACTTCCTGAACAGTGTTGCCAAGGTAGATGGAAAGTTATAATTTTATTAGAAAATAAAACTCTTGAATTCTTCTCGTACACTACTTATGTAAATTCTTCCACCCAATACAGTGAAATAATATTAATGGTTTAATGTCTCACTTGTTGGTTTGTCACCATTTCTGAGGATAAAGAAATTGTGATCATTCCCATGTGTTTTAAAATCACATTTTCTCCCTCAGACGGTCCCCAGCAAAGAAATCAGCCATAAGTGAAGCAACCTATACACTCCATTCTGATTGTGCTGATCTCTCTACTGATGCAACGCTCTTCAATTTGCTTCACAATCCTCTACTACAGCAAAATTCCGGGGAAAAGACCGACTCCTTACCTTACACATTCACTCAAGCATTGCGTCAACAAGGCATACCTACTAGTGATGAAAAGGAGCCTTGTGTACCATGGCTGGACCATCTAAGTGTGGACTGGAGTTTAAAGACCAATCTACGTTTTACATCAGACCAACCTTTGCCATGGAAAACTAACTTCAAGGTAAATTCCAGAGACTTTAATTCAGCAGATTTTGTTCATTGTCCTTAGAAAGAGGTCATTCACTCTACTTTTCCGCTGATGCATGAATAAAAAATGCAACAGTATATATTTTCTTGCTCAAAGTATATCATCAATTGGTCTACATTTTTGAAAGTTGTTATAAGTTTGAGTTCATTTACCCTAAAATTTCTGACACCATCAGACATGTGAAGAGGCTAGTGGCACGACCGGTATGGCACGCTGTCTATGGGGCAGCAAGAGCAACAGCGACCTAGACACATCCCCCAACTCTGAGTTCTACCAAAGATGCCTCGTTTGGCAACACCCTAGTATTCCCGGAGTTCCATTATTCCCGCGAGAAGGTAGCAAGGCCAACTCAGCCTTGTCCCGCTCTGCGAGCAGTAACAGCAATGGTGTGGTCAGCTCGACCGGTCCTTATGCTGGGTTATCTGAACCTCTAATGGCAGCCTGGCGCGAGGCGCTGCGATCTTTACACCAGCTGATCAGAGTTCGTCAGTGTCCGTACTTCTATGTATGTGCACCAACCTTCACTGTGGTGTACCGCGCTGCTGGTGTCTGTGGCATCCCGCAAGCGCATGCCCTCCTTACTCCTACTACGCGCGGCCTGCGCAGAGCCATAAAAGAGGAAGGTATTTTTTCCATAATGAAGATTGCTTGGTTTTTCGTTGTTTAGTTGTCTATGTTGAAATCTCTGTGCTCTAGATTCGTGAAACTTGAATGCTTTTTTGAACTTCTTTGAGATGCCTTGTGAAACGTATTTTAGTTTTTAACTCTGACAGAATATGTGGATATGAGGATTTTTTTATACCTATCCTCAAAAATTTTATTAAATCGTTTAGTTTAAGGAAAGATTTTGTTGGTACAAATGCCGAAATTGCAACAAGGATTGGAGCAGATCTATTTGTATTAAATAATTTAAGTCTTCAGTTAAAAATATGGTATGGTACTGTATACACGTTTTTATGTTTCTTAAGAGCATTTATTCTGTCCAGGTATTGACTTCAAGATGCCGCTGTGCAAGCAATTCTCCTCATCTCAGAGTGATGGCAGTCTGTCATCTAAGAGCGGCTCTGACAACAGCTGTGCTTCTTTGGCCTCGTGTGAGAACTTAAAGACGGTAGCATTTTTCAAGCTTTCCTAACTGATAGTACCTTCGAGCAAGTGTATTGAAAAGCATAAATGATCTCAATTTGCTTTAGTTGTTGTTTATATACTTGCTAACTAATATTACCTAGGGTTATTTTCAAATTTAAACTGAGATATTAAACGTTTACAGATTTTGTCTAAAATTTTATTAGGCTTTCATTTGTTTTTTCCCTAAATTTCAGCTCCTACGTCAGCAACTGAGGGAGTCTCCTCTCCTCTCCCTTGTAAACCTCCTGCTGCTGACGAAGATGACGGCGTGATAGATGACGGCGAAGACGCTACGTCCTTCCTAGCTAATTTGGGCGTCGATACATCACAGTTTGCGAATCTCAACCCGGACCGAATTGTCAATTCGTGAGTTGAGATCTACTCGGTTGGGTGCCTTCTTTTATTCATACCGGAATTAGAAAGTCTAATTTAGATTACTATTACAAGGAAATGGTCATGCTTTGAATGACTTTTCCTTTTCAAGATGTCCATTGTAATCCAATTTTTCTAGTAACATACGTCCATTATTTGTATGAAACTCCTCAATACATGAATATATACAGTTTATGCAAACTTACCCAGTGTACCATGAATATTTTTAATTTTCCTTGAAATCCTTAAAAGTTTGTTGGCCTCTTGTTCCAAAGTATTCCTAAACGTTTTTAACCTAATTATATCCTCATTTCTTAGGTCGGTGCACGAGATAGACCGCAGTCCTCTGTCACTGCTGTACATCGCTGACCCTGATACCCACGGCCTCACTAATTTCCTCCTCAACTCGCCATCATGTGTTCAGCACACTGGGCCTATGGCTGGAGTGCCCCCAACCCTCCTGGCCCCTGTTGCTTTTCAAGGTGCCACGCTCCTTCCCTATAAGGTAATCTTTTGGCAGAAATTTTCTCAGGCCATGCTGCATATATACGTTTTTATTGCTCTTGAGAGTTGTATATTGAAGAATACTTTAGGTAGCGTGGCAACTTTCAACGTCTAAGGTATGCATCTTCTCGTGGCTTGCAAATATTTGCCTTGTGAGAACTACGGACAAAAATCTCATTTTAGGGTTTACTTGTGTCGGATGATTTTATAACATGCAATTAAGCGGAAGCTATTATTGTAATTAGATGTCGACAATGATAGAAAATGCTATAAAATCAGTGTTCACAAGTGTGGTTTTGATGCTAAAGGTGAAGGGAAGTTCCATACGCATGGAGGGCAAGTTAAAGCACAGTATGGAGGTAGCGGGTCCCATCCTACCGCACACGCCTCTGCAGCTCAGCAGCCTCCTCACACAGCACCTACAGAACTTTGCTTTCACAGCCACTCCCGTTGCCAGCACCTTGTCGTTCTCCACGTGCACTCCACACCTAAGCTATAACTCTATGTCTAAGGTAACGTCTTGAAAGTGTCCTCCATGTTTTACTTCACCGAGTCCATACGTTCCTATACAGATACGAGATTAAAAATTCTCATCATTTCTGACCAATCATGCATTGAGTTAACTATTTGACTAATTCTGCTTGAATTTTAATTGTTGTTAATTATCTGAATGAATGGATAAGCATCGGCTTTATTTTCCATTTATTTCCAAATATGTGATTTTCTACTGCAATTGTTCTATTAGTGAACGAATACAAACATTTAGACAATCATACACTAAATAATTGATTTAAAAAAACCTATGTCCCTCGCTTAATCTGATATTGTTTCATCTCAGTAAGTGTTGGATGTGAAAATGCAATGTAATCGAGTTTTTTATGTAAATATCTGGACGTGTCTCCTGTTCGGTGATGTTCCTTACGTTAGATGCATGATGCATCATAAGTGAAAAAGAAACCACCTCCGTTTACAGGCATTTGCTGAGGGCGGTCTTGTCGACTGTGGACTGGAAGCCAGTGTTCGCTCCATTGTTTGCGATAGACCGCATCACCAAGCCTCCAGTGGACCTTCTGAAACACAAGCCACAGACGATCTTAAGGACCATACAGCTGACTTACCTCTTACCTACAGGCACGTTAAATACTCGGAAGGAAAGTTCACGTGGACAGATCAAATGCCCACCACCAGATGATAGCGTCTTATCGGGGCATGACGCAGCTTGTAATGACAGGATCGGTAACTTAATTTAATATTCTATTTTATATAAAGTTGATTGTGATCTAAGCGCGGCTTGTCAAATCTTAATATAACGTATTTATTCAGTTTTTTTTATCCTTTCAAAAATGTAACTAAGTATAGTCTCCAATCTACCAGTGAATGATCTGAGATATTTCTGCCGTCATTGCCGATAACGTCGCCACAATATTTAAGTCACTGGCTTTTTTTTAGAAAAGGTGATAGCTGGCTCGAAAAAAGTCCCTACATCATAAAGAAACATATATTGTGTTATATAATACACAGTATATAAATGATACAGCGTAAAAGCTCCTAGCGTGTGTGCACCTTACACTCTTACACTGCTGCAGCTGGCAGGCCTTCACTGCTGAGTTGATGGCAGTCAAGTCTGGGACAGCCACGGTCACCTAGGTCACGGGGTTCCATAACCGGGTACTGGAGGGTTAGAAGGAGTTGCGGTATACCGTTATTGCGTGCGGCATCATGAGCTTTTGCTGATGTCCTCTGGTGAAGTGGGCAGCGGGTTGAAACCTGTCAAGTTGGACGCTCATGTCCACCAGCTTATGCATGATTATATACCACATATGGTTTCACTATACAATATATGCAATATACCGCACATGGTTTCACTATACAACATATTCAATATGCAATATACCGCACATTGTTTCCCCACTACAAGTTTTTAGTGATTGTAACACCAAATTGCTTGGCTTCTGCCATGGATTCCAGCGTATGGCCGTGCAATGTATAGTTGAAAGGTATCTGGGACCTCTGTCTTGTAACTGGGAGGAGGTGGAACTTATCGACGTTCAACTCCATCTGACGGGTGCGTTCACAGACTTCCAGTTTGTTGAGGTCATCCTGCAGGAGAACAACGTCGTGTGGGCTTCTGATGTGGGAGTAAAGCACCGTGTCGTCCGCGAAGAGTCCACTCTTGGTTTGGATTCTGTCATATAGATCGTTGATATAGATCAAGAAGAGAGTAGGCCCTAAAACGGAACCTTGGGGCACTTCCAACGTGACTGGCCCGATGCTGGGAGCTCTCTTCCACAACGACTTGCTGGAGAGGAAGCATTTCCAGAGGAACTTTTAAATTCATCTCGTAACCTTGCCCCTGATGCCATAATAGTCCAGCTTGATTAGTAGGCGCTGATGATGGACTTTATCAAAGCAAATGACGAAGGCCCTGGAAAAATCGAGCATGATCATGTCGATCTGGCGTTTTTATTATTAATAGCGAAACAATTTCAAATTCAATTAAAGGATCTGTACAGCTTTACACTGCGAAGGCAAATCACTTATATTGATACAATCATTCTAAAATATCGTCCAATTGATTTTGTAATATAATTAATCGCTGCTCAAAATGCAATCAGACCATACACGTCTTTACGTGTGTAAATGTTTACAGTAACAACGGTTTATTATTTCGTAATCAGTTCGTGAATTTAAGATGATTACACATTGTTTAAATAAAGTTTAGAACTATAGCAAGTTTAAATAAAGTTTAGAACTTTTGCAAGTATTATACTATGGCGTGACATGGAGGTAAGAGTGATATCCACGCATATATGGCTTAAGACTCCTCACAGGAATGGACTTTTTAGGCCTAAGTGAATTGATTATTGTTATCAGAAGTTAGATTGACAGTCTGTCTCTGCACTCTGCAGCAGTTCACAGTGAAAGGTGGTGCTAATTCTATTGAGACCAAATCTGCCGGCTTCCAAACGGTGTGTGTTCGTTAAA